AGAAAAGTTCACATCGAAAAGGGTCTCTGATTAAAAAAACCAAACAGCAGCACAGAATTCCCCCTGTAGGAACTGCTGGATATTAATCCATAATAAAAAACTTATAAATAAAATTATTAATAAAAGTATTATTAAAAGTATTTAATAAAAGTATTATTAAAAGTATTTAATAAAATTGTTAATAAAAGTATTATTAAAGGTATTTAATAAAATTGTTAATAAAAGTATTATTAAAAGTATTTAATAAAATTGTTAATAAAATTATTTTTAAAGTATTTAATAAAACTGTTAGTAACATTATTAATAAAAATAAAAATGTGGAATTATAGAACAAAATTAATCTGGTAGGTGAAGTGAAAGAAAGGTTAAGTCCTATGCCAGCCTGTTGACTTAGGAGTTTTTATCCACCTGCATCAAGGAAGAGGGATACACCTGGGCCAGATAAAATCCCCAAACTCTCCTGCTTTTAGCCTATCCCACTTTCAGACGAGATGATCTGGACTCACCAGAGCAGATTTCCCCCACCACTAAGACCCCCCACGACCCCCACCCGGCCCACTGTGCTTCTGCGACCCCCCGCCCCTCTCCTTACCACCACCGCCTTTGATTCGCAGGAGCTTCTCCCGCAGGTCTCTTCGGTTGATGCATCCCAGCACCTTGAGCGTCACCTCCACAGCGCCATCCTCGGCGTAGTAGCCGAGCAGCAGGCGGCACAGGTCCAAGCGATCCGCCTTCTGCAGCCGCCCCTTGGGGATGCTACTATAGCCCTCCTCGGCCGGGAGCGCGTTCAGATGGAACTTGAATTGCTTCAGGTCGTACTCCTTCAAGTCCTCCAGGGCGTCCGCCAGGCGGTCGCGGACGGTCCTCCTCTCCTCCGCCATCGCGTTCTCTCCTTCCCCGAGGAGAAAGGGAGCAAAGAGAAGCCCGGCTCCGCGGCAAAACTTGCCCCCGACGGCTGCGGGGGGAGAAGGCAGCAGCTCGAAACCCCGCCGTGGGCCAACGCGGCGGTTGGGGCGCCGTCTGTTAAAGGCAAGGATCCGCTTTCGCTTTCAGTTCCCTCCTCCCCCCTCCCTCTGTCCCGGAAGGATAAAAGTGAAGCGGGGTGGCAGTGGTGTAAACCGAGGAAGAAGTCGGGCCCCAGGCAAGCTGGTGCAGCAGGAAGCGGAACGGCGGATTTGGGCAGCGAGGCGGCGAGTTGAAGGAGACGGGCTTTCTTTTTGTTGCAGCCTGGAAATCCAAAGCAGGTTTAGCCTCCAGCGCCTAACCCCGTAATATAAACCACGGACTACATCGCAGGGTTGTCGTACTTTCCCATACCCTCCGGCATTTCTCCAGTAGAAATAGAGACATCCTAAGGACGCGGGTGGCGCTGTGGGTTAAACCACAGAGCCTAGGACTTGCCGATCAGGTCGGCGATTCGAATCTCCTCGACGGGGTGAGCTCCCGTTTCTCGGTCCCTGCTCCTGCCAACCTAGCAGTTCGAAAGCACATCAAAGTGCAAGTAGATAAATAGGTACCGCTACAGCGGGAAGGTAAACGGCGTTTCCAAGCGCTGCTCTGGTTCGCCAGAAGTTGCTGGCCACATGACTCGGAAGCTGTACGCCGGCTCCCTCGGCCAGTAAAGAGAGATGAGCGCCGCAACTCCAGAGTCGGCCACGACTGGACCTAATGGTCAAGGGTCCCTTTACCTTTAAGGAAAAGCGGGACATTCCCAGATCAAATCAGAAACTGGGACAGAATTCTGTAAATTTAGGGCTGTCCCTGGAAAACGGACACTTGCAGGGTCTGCTTTCTTCTCACTTCCCACCCAGTTGCTGGACGCTGGGCTGAGCTGCAGGACTGTCATTGCCACTTTGTTTCTATGGCCACTGGCAGGGGAATTTTTTAAATGGTAAAACAGGAAACATTTCTTACATTGACACCCAACGTCCTCCGAAGAATCCTGAGGGCTTTACTTACTGAGTTTGATTTTGGTTGTGGCTGATGGGAGTTGTGGTCCAACACATCTGGAAGGCACCAAGTGGACAAAGGCTGGTCTGGAACCTACAGTATGTATTTGGGAGACTGTATCTCCCGGTGTTTGTGTCGGGGGTTAAGCAACAGCTCTTGCAATGTTACCTGAACCAGTGGAGGGTGATCAGACAGAAAGGCAACCTTGTACCATGAGGGATGCCGATGCTGTGGCTACAACAAGCACAGATTTTATCGTTAAGTCAGAGAACTAGATGGGTTAAGAGCTTGAGACAAACCCTTTGTGATCTTTTGCAAATTTATCAGTTCTCTGCAGATTGAGAAGATTGCACCTTGTGCAAAATCATGCTCTCCAGCTGCTTTGAGGGTGTGGCAGTGCTCAGAATTGTGTGGGGATATCACCTGTTCCTGAGAGCAGGTCAGAAATTGTATGCTTTAAATCCCTGGTTCTCAAACTTTTCCCCCTCACAGACCATTTAAAATTTTCTGATGTTCTTGGTGAATCACCTGGGTCTCCTGCCTGTTGCAGCAGTTGTGATGTGCTAAATGCTGTAAACGGCATTTCTGTGCGCTCTGGTTTCTGTCACGGTGTCCCGTTGCACCAGAAGTGGTTTCGTCATGCTGGCCACCTGACCCGGGAAGCTGTTTGCGGACAAACGCCAGTTCCCTCGGCCTGAAAGCGAGATGAGCACCACACCTCATGGTTGCCTTTGACTGGACTTAACCATCCAGGGGTCCTTTACCTTTTCCCCAGATGCTGTATGTGCCGAGAACCATTGTGGTGTAAAGGTTAGAGAATTGGAATGGCGCATAGGAGACCAGGACTCAACTCCCTACTCAGTCACGAGGCTCACTGGGTGCCCCTGGGCCAGTCACTGTCCCTCCACCTAACCTACCTCACAGGGTTGTTGTGAAAATAAAATGGGAAGGGGACACCCATGTATGTCACCTTGAAATTCTCAGAGGAAACATCAGTATATAAATAGCTAATATTTTAGTTTTATTGCTTCTTTTATTATATTATGCAGTGGTGCCCCGCAAGACGAATGCCTCGCAAGACGGAAAACTCGCTAGACGAAAGAGTTTTCCATTTTGGAGGTGCTTCGCAAGACGATTTTCCTATGGGCTTTCTACACAAGATGACAATGCCTTGCGAGTTCCTGCGGGTTTTTTCCCCCTCCCCCCTTTTTCTAAGCCGCTTATCAGCTGATCCGATCAGCAGATAAGCCGCTAAAAGCCGCTAATAGCGCTAATCCGTCAATGGGCTTGCTTCGCAAGACGAAAAAACCGCTAGACGAAGAGAATCACAGAACGGATTCTTTTCGTCTTGTGAGGCACCGCTGTACTTTATTGTAGTACCCATTTGAATTCCATAGAATTCAGATTGCGAGTGGTCTTCCAGGATGAAGCTCACCAGCCACAGTTTGCAAACCCCAGGTCTAAACAAATGCTGTGCACCGTTTCAGCAAAAAGGTTGCCCTAAAAGTTGCCCACAGATGTGTGTTACTGTAGCACCCTGCTTGTGGTTAACGCTTAGCTGGAATGAAATATTCAACGCAGCAATAGAGAAATTAAAATAATAATTTATTTGTCAGACAAATAGATGAGAGACACAGTGGTATATGGTTACCAAAGCTCTGCCCGCTCCAGCCCTGATGGCCAGCACTTATATTTCCTCAGCCCAGCCCCCTTGCTCCTCCTTTGGCTGCCTCTGTCCAATCAGCCTGGTTGAAATTCCTATTGACTGTTTGCTAGAACCAATCATAAAAGATACACCCATTTCCTATTACCTTTTATGGGAGACAAAGAGCTATATTTCCTTCTATCCATAAATGGCAGACAAGTAGCCATATATCTTATATTTGCCTCGACCAGGCACCTTAATTACCAGATAACCTTTTTGCCCTATTACCCTATTGCCCCTTCACTCCAAAACAGATGGCTAAAACAGATGGCTCATGGTAACAGAGATCTTGGGTTCACATTCTCACACACCATCAATGAAATAAGAATCTAACATAAGAATCTAACATTTCTTACTTTCTAAATCCTTTGCATAATTACATTAAGCCAATATATTTCATACATTACATAGATAGATTTTTAGAAGAAAAGGAACTTAGTAAAAACAGTTTCAAAAGCAACCTCTTCTATTTACAACTCCCTTTCCTAGCCAGCTGCTGTTCCTATTAGCTCTTGCCCTTTAACCTTAGGAAAATATGACTCGAGTCTAATGGGAGGCACATGGTATTATTTTCTGTTAAACAATAAATTTTACTATTTACCAACTCTTAATTAGTGTTTTTGCAGCTTGATTGTATTCTGTAATTTGTAGGGTCAATGTAACCTTTGCTCCCAGCCTGTATTTCCCTTTTACAACTTTGAGAAACGTGTCTCCTGTTACTACTATAAATCAGGGGGGCCCTGTTCAAGGAAATAAACAACTGCCAAAGTACTTAGCCAGCTGCTTTATGCCTGGCATGAGACATACAAACATTTGCAAATATATATTTTAAGCTCATTTTAAAATGCAGGCCTTGATCTGATGCCTCGTTACAATGTGCATGTGTGAACCCACATGTTTGTCCAGCATGGACCTAAAATAGGAATGTAACTTTTGGCACAGAGTCAGGGTGTTCACTCATTAAAATGCATTAATACCTTCAACCCTTATACCCAATAAAGAATTTGTCATACTAGGAAAGAGTGAAAGATTGGTTTATTACACTTGGAAAAGAAAGACAAAGAATATATGTGCTGCTTTAGGCTGTGAATTACAAAATATAGGGGCAGCAAATAATCATGGATACAATCACATACCTGAATGCTGTAGAGTAAAAAAGTCCCTCACTACCCCAAAAGGTATATATCATATAATTAAGCGGTTATAGACAACTAGGAATTTGTATGGCTACTGACTAGGACTACTTTAGCGCAAGGCGTTTATACTTTTACCATAATCTGAAAAATGAAAACACATAATTGTTTTGCTAATTTCAACATGCAACCTTGTCATATTATGCACAGAGTCACATTATGTTTGGTGGCTGTGCATAACATCTGAGATTTTCATACAAAAATGGCATACATTTAATAAAATTAGATGCAATCTGTGAATGCAAAAACTTGTTTGAAACCACTTTTGTTTCCAGGTCTTTAAGGCAAGCATTCTGATGGAGGTGTTGGTTACAACTTGTATCTTCTAAGGCCTTCAGTGCTTGTTCTTTGGTTATATTTCCCCAGTCCTCTGGCAGATCAGCTGGTTTAGCCTTGTACTTTCTGGCAAAGGCATCATTGAACATTTTGAAAATGTACTTCCAGTAATCAGAAGCTTTGATACTGGGATCAGGTTGGATACGCCAGTCTGGATAATACGTACGGTACTCTTTGTACGGATGCCATTCCCAATTTGTGTCCTGATTCTGGAACACTTGATTGGTGGACACATCGGTGGAGCACAGAGAACATACCAGCTTTTCTGAATCTATATATCTGAATCTTCCAAATCCTTGAGGTCGATGGATTGTTGCAAAATGCTCCTGATGAGCACTCCCTCCAGCTTCACAGGGGGTGTAGCAGAAGGGACACTGCTTCCCACAGCCAAACATTTGCTTGAAGATTTCGTCTTGGGGCTTCACAGGCAGTTCAGAGAGTTTGGATTTGATATCCAAGTCTCTAAATCTGCTTAATATTTGTTCTTGCAAATTAGGAAGGAAGCTTTCAACAAAAGCAAAAAGTGGCCAGGATCAAATGCCTGTTTCATGTGTGTCCCCACCAAACTATCCTTAGGAATGACTAACTCCTTCTGCATTTCTTGGAAAAAATCCTGCACAAATTCTGAGATTGTCGCAGCACCTTGATGCTTCAGCTTCTCCAATGTTTTTCTAATTTTGTCTAGTATTGCAGAGAAAATGTTTTCCTCCAGATTCTTCAGATCCTCATTTTTTGTATAGTAATCCACCATTCTTTTCCATATCCAACTCTTGACAAACTTTTCATAGGTTGTGATGTATTCAATATATTGGTCAAAATCCCATTCATTTAACAGATCCTTCAGGATAGTAAACTGGAAAAAACTCCGAGAGCCAAAGTCAATAGACTGCTCACTATTGTGAAAGTGGTCCACTATTTCCACTCCAAGTCTATTGTTGACATAATTCACTATAGCAGGATGGAGACACATTTCACAGAAATCTTTAGCTTGGATGTGATGGGCATCTTTTTCCTGATAAAGATTTCTGAAAATTGCAAAATAGTGGGGTTTCAGTTTTCCCAGGCGCATGTGAGGATCATTTTCCTTAACAAATTCTTCGTGTCTCCTTTGAAATGCATGAGCTGCTTCTCCCACGATGTGGAGCTTAAGGTCCACTTCGAAGCCAGGGGTTGTATGATGTTTTTGAACATCAGGCTGTTGAAGCGTCTCATTGATCATACACAAAAGGTCAATGCAGTAGGTTTCATCATAATCTCCTTTAGAATTGAGCTTTTCATCAATATATGAAGTGCATTTGGACAACAAGGAGTTAGCAAAATCTTTTCTTATATACATATACCGTATTTTTCGCCCCATAGGACGCACCGGCCCATAGGACGCACCTAGTTTTTTTTTTGGGGGGGGAAATAAAGGAAATTTTTTTTTATTCCCCACCCCAGGTGCGCTGCGCTAATTCCGAAGCTTGGGACGTGTGGAGCTCAGCGCGCCCCAAGCTTCTGGGTGCCGGCGAGCTCTCCGCTAGCCCTGGGAGAGCTGGGTCTCCCACAGCTAGCGGATAGCTTCCTGAAGCCTGGAGAGCGAGAGGGGTCGGTGCACACCGACCCCCCTCGCTCTCCAGGCTTCAGTGAAAGCCTGCATTCGCCCCATAGGACGCACACACATTTCCCCTTCATTTTTGGAGGGGGAAAAGTGCGTCTTATAGGGCGAAAAATACGGTACTCCATTTGAGAATTAAAATGAATATACTCCATATACTCCATTTGAGAATTAAAATGCTGCCATCACCTGGTGAATTTCAAATTCCAAGTTAGCAGCAGTATTTTTAATACAATGGAGGGGAAGAGAGAAGATTGCTGCTCAGGGTAAATAATATGCTCTGGGTTAAGGGCATCGGGAAAGAGAAGAAAACTGAGATTGGGATAAACGTGCACCTGAACAGGGAAGATGAACACAGTGATACAGGTATACACAACTGGCTGAAAACATTCCACTATATGTGGCACAAAACTTAAGGCACAGTGAAATAAATGGAAATCCAGCCAGGGACATAGGAATGCAGAACCCTATTTCCCCTATCTATCAGTGTTATCTGAAAATTAAGGGTCCTTCAAAGAGACTCATTTTAACTTTCAAGGGGCCTTTTCTGCATTATTAAGATTGGCATACTTTGTGGCATGCTTTCATGGGAAGAAGATCCAGGTTTCTCTTCTGCCAAGATAAGAATGCTCACCTCATATTATAAATGTCCTTTAAGGCCTTCAGTGCTTGTTCTTCAGTAATGTTTTTCCAGTCCGCTGGCAGATCAGCTGGTTTAGCTTCATATATTCTTGCAAAATCACGGTTATATTTGTTCAAAACAAACTTCCAGTAATCTGAAGCATTGATACTGGGATCTGGTTGGATGCACCAGTCTGGATAATATGCACGATAATCTTTGTATGGATAGTATTCCCCATTTGTGTCCCGATTTTTGAACTCAGTGTTGGAAGCCACAGCAGTTGAACAGATATCATAAACAAGCTTTTCTGACTCTTTTTCTCTGCACATTCCCAGTCCTTTAGGCCGATGGACAGTTGCAAAATGCTCTTGATGAGCACTCCCTCCAGCTTCACAGGGGATTTTGCAGAAAGGACACTGCTTCCCACAGCCAAACACCCGCTTGAAGATCTCATCCTGGGGGCTCACAGGCAATTTGGAGAGTTTAGACTGGAGATCCAGGATATCATATTCAAATATTATTTGCTGTTGCAAATCGGGAAGGAAGTTTTCAACATAAGCAGAAAACTGTGCAGGAACAGTTGCATTCTTAAACTGTACCCCTAACAGACTGTCCTTAGAAATGACTAACTCCTTCTGCATTTCTCTGCAAAAACTGTCCAAAAATTCTGAGACTGTCTCAATATCTTGATGCTTTAATTTTTCCAGTGTTTCTATAATTTTCTTTACTATTGCAGAGAGAATATCTTCCTCCAGTTTCTTCAGACACTCATTCTCTGCATAGTAATCAAAAATTTGTTCCTGGATCCAGTTTTTGACAAACTTTTCATAAGCCCCAAGGTATTCTAGGTAACTGTCAACATTACCCTCTTCCAACAGTTCCTTCAGGACAGTGAATTGGAAGAAGCTCCGACTGGCATACCCAATGGACTGTGCACTGTTGAGAATATCATCCACTATTTCTATCCCAAGTCTTTTGTTGATATAACTCACAAGGGCAGGATGGAGACACTGGTCACAGAAATTCTTGGCTCTGATTTGCTGGGCATCTTTTTCCAGATAAAGATCTCTGAACATTGAGAAATAATGAGGCTTCAGTTTCTCTAAGCGTATATAGGGATCATTTTCCTTAATAAATTCTTCATGCATCTTTTGAAATTGATGAGCTGCTTCCCCCAAAATGTGAAGCTTTAGATCTACTTCAAACCATGTTGTTGTTTGAAGTTTCTGAGCATCAGACTGTTGAAGCATTTCATTGATAATCTGTAAAAGTTCACCACAATATGTATCATCATAGTCTCCTTTGGAATCAACCTTTTTACAAATGTAGGAACTGCATTTAGCCATCAAGGATTTAGCAAGTTCTTCCATCTCATGCAAACACTCCTTGTTAGCAAACAAGCGTTTCACACGGCACCACCATGTTGAATCCATATATTCAGATTTCATTTGAAAAGTATTCATTCTGTAGCTTAACAAAGATTTTGCTTCCTGTAATTTTACATTGACTGGACATCCTCGATGTGCCAATTCCCTTCTCAAATATAAGTCAACCTTTTCATATATTTGTTGTTTCTCTAAGGGAACAGGTGATATTTCTGACAATGTTTCCATCCACATTCTTTCAAACTCTTTTTCCAGTTCTTGATCTTCTATCCTATCTTCATTTTCCCGGCATTTTTTAAGTAGCCCATCAACCTTTCCTTCAATTATTTTCAAGTATTCAGTTTGTAGAGAGTGAATCTTGTGAAGCCCTTTTTGAATGCGAACAGCTTCCTGACATTTGTTGTAAGAATAACTTTCAAGTTCCTGCTTGAGGCTGTGAGCACTGCGGACAAAATCTTCTCTGTACCTTTCTACCAAATGCAGATTTGCTGCTCTGCTTTCAAAGTATTGCTTCAAATTCTCCAAAATCTGCTGTTCTCCAGCCAACAGCTTCTGATAAAGCTCATTTTGCAAACTGCGTATATCAAATTCATCAGGAGAAACATTCTGTATTGACGTTTCCTGTTCAGACACCCAGAGGTGCATCTCTCTGCGAAAATGCCAGTCCCATTCAGAATATTTCATGGAGAGCTGGTTATAAGCTTCCGCTATGAGGCTGTTTCGGAAGCTGAAGATGAAGTTCTCATGTTTCACAGCATTCCACAGACTTTTCACCCATTCAATAAACTGAGGGATGTCCTTGGGAGGTGTTTTACATGAGCGGTTCTTTATGAATTCAAATATGTACTTCTTTAATTCAAGGACTTTTTCACTGTAACCCATGTTGACTGGGGCCATGGGTGGGACTCCATGCCAAAGACCTGGTATGTACCAATTGTGCATTTCTGGGTCGTAGTCCATGATGTCTGAAAACTTGATATCCCTATTGTGTTTTTCCATTTTTGCTGCAGCCTGGGTCATTTCATTCAGCTGTTCCAAAAGATGCTTCCTGTCCCTCATGTTTTGGGTCATGTGCAGAAACATCACTGACGTTCTGGTGAACAAACTGGCAGTTGGGTTTTTGCCCAATCCTCTCCATCCTGAGGAAAGCATGGGTCACAATCTGCAGGATGTCCTTCATTTCGGTGGCATTCTCCATGGCCATGTTGACAATGGTGATGTCGCTCAGCCCAATCACTAGAGTGGCCAATTCGTTGTCATGCTGATAGCTGTCTTCCAGTTTGGCCAGTTCAGGGGCTTTCAAGCCCTCTGTGTCTATTACCAGGATGAAGTCACAGCCAAAATCCTGAGCCAAATTCTCTGAAACGTTAAGAAGCATCATGAAGGCACCTCGTGTGCACCGCCCACTGCTGACAGCAAATTGCAGGCCAAACATGGTGTTCAGAAGGGTCGATTTCCCAGTGCTCTGCACCCCCAGAACGGTTATCACCATCATCTTGGATTGTCCCCTAAGTTTGTTATTGAGTTTATTCAGAACGTCAGTTATCCACTGCAGGGGGATATTGGATGCATCACCATCAATGAGCTCCAGGGGAAACCCTTCCAGCAGTAGTTCAGCTGCAATGCTTGGGAAATGGGCAAACTGTCTATTGTTTATAGCTATTTTGCCCTCATTAACCATTGAGCATTCCGCCTCATAGAACTGCCCCAGCTCACGCATGAAATGCTCAACTCCCAAGGAAGAGGATGATATCAACTGGTCTACCTCTGCAATCTTCCGCCCATCATCTCCTAACTTCTTGCATTTCTCTTTATAGTCAGCACGTAACTTGGAAAGATTTCCCCTAGCAATATGGTCCAGGTTGAACTTCATCCATTTCAAGAAATAATTCCTCTCTGCATCCTTCAAATGTTTTATGCCATGGATGAAATTAATCAAACCAAAGGTGAGATCACATTGACTCTGCTGCCTACGCAGTTCCAACCATCTGCCTCTCAATTCTGATCTGTATTTTTCCGAAGGCATGTCCCCTTGTCTTTCCATTCTGCATAGTTCTTTCTCCACTTTGGCCAGATTCTTCCAGAGATCACCTTGGAGTATCAGTGTTTCTTTCTTGTAAACTGCTACATCTTTTATCTCTCCTGAAATTTCTGTGGCACATCTGAGGGCATCCTGACATTCTTTGTGGTCTTCATCCACCTGGATTGTAAGTTCATGGGCTGTTGTACACATCTTATCAATACTTACACACTTAGGTTTTGAGGCTATTATTTTTCCAATTGCAGCTCGAAGGAGTTCTACAAATACTGCTTTATTCATTGTGGCATTTTTTACCAATATATGTGAATTGTCAAGTTTAATCACTGGTGCCAGTTTATTTAAGAACTCCAAGGTAGAATCAGATTTTCTACTGCGACTTTCCAAGATAAAGTAGAACAGAGTTGACAAGTCCTTCAGTGATGACAAAAGAGTATATTCTCTCTCGCCAATACATTCAGCAAATATGAACACAGCTGAGGAGACCTGCGTTAAAAAGCTGAACTGCACTCTGTGAGACTCAACATCTCCACGGAGATTTGCAACAGCAACTGGCTCTGGAAAGAGATCTGTGTTTGTCCGTCCTCCTGGGAAATACCAGGCAATCTCTACAAGCCCATCAGCAATTTTCCGAGGGATGTTCCCACCCTCCATATCTCGGTGTAGAAAGAAATCATTATGCTGCTGAGAAGGGCTGAGGAACTCGTTGAGGACTTTGGACTTGGATATGTTACAGTTTCCCATCCGTACGAAGGAAACAGTTGGCATGGATGTCAGTACCAGG